CCTTTTGCATAAATAATTTAAATGTATGTATCTCATGTTATATTGTGTTATATAGTGTTGCTTTTAAAGGAAGCTTATTACAAAATTTAAGCATATCTTAATTTTTAAAAACAAAAAACACACAAAAAAACATACATTCAGTTGAATTTCCTTAAGTTTTAAATTAAAAAGTTTAATTGTCAAAATAAGTTTTGTATAATAGTTATAGTTGTAATATATTAGGCTATGAAGTCACTTTATTTGCCTTAAATTTTCGGTTCTTTCAAATTACGGTACATTCAATTGAATTCAGTTAAACTCTCCTTCACAAACTGGATGTTATTTACCATGCAGCAATTCGTTTTGTTACTAGTGAATCATTTAATACCCAGCAAGCAATTTTGTTTCAAATAGACGTCTAATAGAAATCTAAATGTGGACAGCTTGGCTGAAACAAGGATAAAGTTGTGCTGTCAGTGAAAATCAAATAGACATCTAAGAAAAGTCTAAAACTAGACTACTCATCAAATTGACAGATTAGACAGACTTTATATGTGTAGTCATAAATTATGTTTATTTGATGAGTCTAGTTTTGGCCTATTCTTAGACTTCTATTAAGATTTTCACTGACAGCCCAAATTTCGCCTTGTTTCTTAACATTCAGAAAACATGTGGAAATCTGCACTCTAGTTGTTTTATTAACCCTTGTATACCTAAAGTTCGCACTTCATTTGGTCGCTATACTCTTTTCAGTTTTCTGATGCTTGGAATTATTTGCAGCAGACCTTAAAGCTCAACACTTTTAATATAGCACAATACACTCTCAGAAATAAAGGTATGAGAGCTGTCACTGGGTATATTGGTACCTCAAAAGTATATATTAGTACCTAAAAATTTAAAGAGGAACACTTTTGTACTTTTAGGGTACTAAAATTTACCCTTAATTTAATAATATGGACTTTTTAGGTACAAATTTGTACCTTTTGAAAAGGTACCACCCCAGTTACAGCTCTCGTACCTTTATTTCCTAGTGTGTATATAGTGTACTCTCCAAAAAAAGGGTACAATGTTGTACCAAAGAAGGTACAAACCCTTGTCACTGGGGCAGTACCTTTTTTATGGAACAAAATTGTACCTTAAGACAAAAAAAAAAAAAAAAAAAAAAAACATTGCATTTTGTACCTTTAAGTATGATTGTACCATGGGGAAACTAAAATGCATCTTTGGTTTTTAAAACTTGCATATACAATATTGTACCTTCATCAAAGGTACTGCTTTATAATCACCTTTATAACCAATTAAAACTTCATTTCATTGACTTAATATTAAAATAGAAATAGAATTATGCAAAAGTATTGTAATGAGATTTGCACAATGTTTTATTAGTTTTACAATACTATAATGTCTGCATGAACACTTTGCATATGCAGGACTTTTGCCAGCTTATGCGTGTAGTGAAAAGCAAACACCAAAAGGCGTGGATATCAATAACGAAACTGTATTTATCAGAAAATGCCTTTCGAATGTTTAATAAAAATGCCGTAAATGTTTAGTTTACAATACCGATAGTTTTGTTTTACCCGTTGTTTTGTATTATATAACTTAATAATTAATGTTTATGAGTTTCTTTAAGCATTTGCTTGTAATGATTCGTGTTTTTATATGGAAATTATTCATTAAATTACTTTTCCTTTCCAGTAATATTTATTTTCATAGACAGTGTAATAAAGAAGGAGTTGTTCAACACTTATGTACCTTTTATATGAGAACAATTGTGTACCTTTACTTCAGCTGTACCATAAAAGGTACAGAACAGTATCATAATTGGCTTTTTCTGTACCATATAAGGGACAACTTTTACAAAAGTACAAAATTGTTCCTTAACGAACATTAATTGTACCACCTTGTATCTTTTTTTTTGAGAGTGTATTATAGTTAACAGAACAAGATCACTGTGCTTGTTTTTATTTTTTCTTTGGTTTTATATTTGATTATCTGTATTTGTTAAATTAATATGTTTGCTTGTTTGTTTGCTTGTTTGTTTGTTTGTTTGTTTGTTTGTTTGTTTGTTTGTTTGTTTGTTTGTTTGTTTGTGTGTGTGTATACTTTATTGTCCCTCAAGGGGAAGTTTTCTGTGGATTGTGGGCAGGTTCTGACATGATAAAAATTATAAAAAACAAACATGCAAAAGTATTACATTTACATTACACAAATACAAACATATGCATAATATCGATCAGTGTTCAATAGTCTGATTGACACTGGGATAAAAGTGTTCTTAAGTCTATTTCACTTCCAGGGGAAGGTTCTGCATCTTCTACCAGAATGTAAAAAATCATAACATGGGAATATGAGATGGATTCTTCAGAATTATTTTCGCTTCATTTAGAGTGCATTGCTCGTAGAATGTTTGATTACTGGTGAAAATTTCTGATCCTATTAATCTCATAGTAATTCTGATAGTAGTTAGATTTACAGAAAGATTACCATACTATGTAGATAGACCATACCTGATGACACTCTCAAACACAGCCTGATGAAATAAGTATATGATTTTCTTGTCAACATCATAGAACCCTAACATTCGTAGAAAATAAAGTCTTTGATAAGGCTTTCTAATTTACATGGGTGTTCCATGTTAGAGCCCGATATGTAAATTCCCAAATGCTTGTATGACTGAGTGATTTCTTGATTATGTACCTGTACAAACACTGGTAAATGCTCGACAACACACTTGGGATCAAATATTATTTCAAGTGTGCTTTCCAGTATTTACCATTGTTTGTACATAACCAATAAAACACTCTGGTCATACAAGTATTTGGGTTATTGTATTGTGTCCCTGCTGCTTCCTATCTGGTTTGTATGTTGCCTCTTGGCCAGGTCGTCATTGTAAATGAGAACTGGTTCTCATTTGACTTACCTGATTAAATAAAGGTTATTAAATATCGCAGTCGTGACGTTTCTTGTGTTATTTTAACTTATTGAAATGACGAGGAAGGATTCAATTAAATTAAACATAATATATTTAACTTGATTTTAACTCAGTTTATTGTATGGAAAGTTTAGCTATAACCCAAATTTAAGGCAGCATCTGAAAATATTCAGCTGTTTCAATCGGAAAATCATCCTTGAGATTTGTTTTGTGCAGTTTTCTTAAAAGCTTGATCTGTGTACAAGCCTCAATCTTTAAAAAGCACTTGGCTAAACTCCTATTCTCATTCATTAACAGTAAGCGTCTTTTTAGATCACACCTGCTAATTAATTGTCAGGTCCATGCAACGTGAGACGGAAATATGTGTATTACCGAAGGAAATTATAACTGCCAAAAACACGCAAACATTTCGCTATCTAGTCTAATCTGGTTTTAAAAAGACAGTCAAAGCCCTAAACACGAATGAAGGGATCGTTCATTGAAGCCAGTTGAATGCCATGACAACAAGGAACGAGCTCACTTTTATTTTACCAGTTTGGGTGTATTGTGCGGGGGCGTCAATCAACCATTATTTCTTGCGCCCCAAATAAATGCAAAACCTGATCTAGCACAAAAAACTTCCAGAGGGAGCCTTTCATTGGCCTATTGTCCAGAGCTTAGCTGTTGGTTTGTAGATGTGTTTGCACAGTCCGACCACCCATGACGCACGCAGAGCCCACTGAACATTCACATCACATAATATACACTGTCCGAAGGAGGAGACACCCAAAATCATTTCACAACAACTCGAATAAAATGAGGCGATATGAACAAAACGAGAGCCACACACTCCTTTACATTTAGATGTAGGCTAATTGTGTTGCATTTATTCGTGCATGCATTTTTATGCGTCTAAAAGTTGGGAGGCTAATTAAATAGGAAGCACAAAGGAGTTTGTGCAAGCAATGGAGAGAAAAAACGACAATCTTAAAACATAATTTTCATTGACTATATATATAGACCATTTTAAGGGATGTAAACAATAAGAATGGTCCAAATGCGTTTCCTGTCAATTTCCATAGCTTCAGAAAACTCCAAAAAGCTTCACATGTTGATAAATAATCCTATGGCGGGTGTTTTAATGTAACGTTGTGATTGAATTGCCTCTTGTACGAAATACTTGAACAAGCAAATGTTCATGGGCCAATTATCCCCACATTTAAATTGTCAACAAAGCTTTTATAAGCAAATATTTGTTGAAATTGTTCTTTAAAGAAGCGAAAATGGCTTCGATTGCATTGATTTATAGTTTAACTTCATTTTTGGAGATAAAAAAAAAACGTTGCCTATAGAAAAATAATGAAAACAAATCACAAATGAACATACAAAAAGCAAAGGATTCACTACAGCTATAATGATAATAATGATGATGATAAAATAAATAAATAAATAAATAAATAAATAATAATAAAAATAATAATAAAAATCTACAAAAGTTTCTGAATGCATTTGTAAAATATTGTCTGAGTGTGTAGCCTGATATATACTCAATAATATATGTCGTGCCTAAAATAGACGCATTGGCTTGTGATCATTTAGTGAAGTATAACGTGCTTCAGCCATCAATTTATTTTAAACATCTGAATGAATCATCAACGAAAAGCTTTTAAGCACCAGACTAAAAGTATCGATGACCTACATCATATATATAGCTTGAATTCTGAAGGAGGTCAGTATAACAGGATTCGGCTCTTGTCGTCAAATATGGGTTGATGAATTTGGTACTTGACTTAAGCTCTAAACAAAATATTGACCCAAAAGGTTTCCATAATTTGTCCACTTGCCACTTTAACCAACCTAATTTCAACACGGACAGCTCGTCATCCACAACGCCACCTTTAATGCGCAGACCAATCACGGGTTAAAATAAAGCGAGTGTTTTTAAAGATAATTATAACGGAGGGTTTCCATTTGCGCCACTGATATGTAAATGCGTCCGGGGGGCATCTCTCCCCCTCTTCTGCGTGTTTTAGTCGTGTCACCTCATCCCACTCATGCATTTCTGATCTTCCGCTGATTGAAGCTCAACTCACTATATTTCACACCCGCAGAAGCGCTCGAGCACTTGACTCCACAGATCCACCCTTAATCGCCAAGGCCGCTTTTTTCCTGGAGCTCCAACACTTATCCACGACCTTAAATGGACCAGACTAATGGATTGGTTCGGTCAAGCACTGTAACATCTGAAAAGCATCTGTGATCCGTGTGTGCGCTGTCCAATAGGAAGGATATTTATTATTTATAACTTCACCGAGAGACCTTCACTGTCGCAGTCCTACTGGTTTGGAAAATGTCCCTAAAGAATTCAAAGTCGGGTTTCACTGTACGTGATATTTTAGACCTCCCGGACACCAACGACGAAGGATCTGTGAGTGAAGACACTGAAGATGAGCAGGATGAAGGACTCAATGCAAATCAGAAAAAACAGCACGACTCCTCTAGAGACGCGCTCTGGCTCGGATCTTCGTGCGGACACAAATATCCAGGTAAGAGTACGCATTTTGATTATTTTAGCCTACTACAATACGCTGGAGAAGCTTATATTCTAATGAAATTAAGTTAAAAAAAACTATTAAAGTGCAAAACAAAAATCATCATCTCTGACATTTTTTTTTTTTTTTCGCTTAATCCCTAGAGATTTTGTTTGGAATCGTACGCACACTCTATATATATATATATATATATATATATACATACATACATACACACACACGTTACATTTTCTTAATTGACATCGACGGTTTAAATTATTAAAATCAAACAAAAAGTGCTCAGGGCAGGTATCTTAAATAATGTGTTGGTGCTCAGTGGGTAAGGCATTCCTCAGCATAAACAGCAAAAATCAGTCCAAGGCACTCGAAAAATGTGGAAAAAATATTTAAAAGCGTTTATTTATACGACTAATCCTTAAAAAAACCGCCCTCAAAAACAGCAAAAACTGCCTTCATCATGCCTAAACTTCAAAACACAAGGATTATGTTATATAATCCATGTTAATGACCATGTTAATAAAGGCCACATTTTTCGAGTGCCTTGGACTAATTTTTGCTGTCTATGCTGATGAATGCCTTACCCACTGAGCACCAACACATATAGTGCTGTTATCAACACAGATTGCTGTTTAAACTTTAGCTTATTATCCACACTAATCACACAATTAGACGATTGTAACTGCACTCTTGGATTAGATTCAATTTGTTTATATTTGTTGTAATTATATTTTTGGATTCGCCTTTTTATTTAGGCTACGTATATGCTACTGTGGTGAAAAATACAACATTGAGTTCAATAAAGTACAACAAACAGCTTAAAAATTAAGTAGGCTATAATTTTCTTGTTTTTATAAAAATATAGGCAAAAAAAACACAAAAAATATTTGTTGTTTGCTCAAACTATTTATTTAAAATTAGCTGAAACAACACAATTCTTGAGTTTATTGGGGGGACACAATTTAATTGTTTTGTTCAATCCACTTAAATTTGTTAAAACCAGCAAGTTTACTCTGTTCCTTCACGTTCATTCAGTCGTTTTCTTTTCGGCTTAGTCCTTTAATAATCGCCACAAGGTCGCCACAGCGGAATGAACCGCCAACTTATCCAGCATATGGTTTACGCAGCGGATGCCCTTCCAGCCGCAACCAAACACAGGGAAACACCTATACACACTCATTCACACACATACAATATGGCCAATTAAGGACATCTAGCATGTCTTTGGACTGTGGGGAAAACCAGAGTACCCGGAGGAGACCCACGCCAACACGGGGAGAACATGCAAACTCCATATAGAAATGGCAGCGACCTTCTTGCTGTGAGTCGATCGTGCTATACTGCGCCACCGTGACGCCTAGTTCCTTCATGTTAACCCAACAAAAATAGATTATGTGGAACCCAGCATTTTTTTAAAGTAAATAAACTTTGACATCCACAGAAGCAAAAAAAGTAGGCATATTTACTTTATTATTAAAATGTACTTAATGAAAAGAGTGACTCTTTTAATAACTCTATTTAAAAACGCTTGGTTAATGTAACCCATAGTTGGGTAAAACATGGATAAACCCAGCATCACTGAAAAAAGTGTTGCATGCAGAACTGTTGCAAACAATTTACTTGTGTTGAATTTAAACAAACAAATTAAGTTTAACAATGTTCAACTTAATTTGTTTGTTTAAATTCAACACAAATAAAATGTTTACAACCACTTAACGTAAAAAATTGAGTAAATCCAAGGAATCATCTCTGAATAATGAATCATCTCTGAATAATTTTTTTCAGTGCAGTTGAGTTAAATGCATTAAAATGCATAAAAAAAACAATGTTGGTTCACAAGAACCGAGCAGTTTGACTGTATGGACCTTTAGGACTTTTAGGTTCTTCTACAAACAAAATGCTTCCAAAACCTATTTTAAATGTTTATTGCACATACAAATAAAAGTGAAGAAGCGTTTTAAACATCCATAACATTTTAAAACCAAAACGCGTTTATTCGTATTTTACTTTCCGATTATCAGATTAAAAAATGGTTTACTTTTTACTTCTTATTTTATTTAGGTAACCCAAAATGGTGTGTGCACTCAACCCCCTTCAATATCCTCTATTTTGAGTCAAAATATAAGTTTTGTACAAAATATGTAATTTGTTGATCTATAAATGCCAATACTAAAGCTTAAAATGTGGACTATTTATCTACATCGCTTGTAAAACCCTTAATTTTGAAAAGTGCATGGTATATTGTGGAATCAAACTAATTTAGCCAACAACAAATTGTTTTCCACAGTGCCGTCAGCATCTCCAGAGGAGTTGAATCCAGAACTGTCCGCGGATGAGTCCGTTGACCGGGAAAGCTCGGAGGACTCCGGGAAAAAGCGCAAACGAAGAATCCTGTTTTCAAAGACTCAAACCTTTGAGTTAGAGCGACGCTTCAGGCAACAGAGATACTTGTCCGCGCCTGAGCGAGAGCATCTAGCCAAGCTTTTACACTTGACTCCAACGCAGGTGAAGATATGGTTCCAGAACCATCGGTACAAAGTGAAAAGGGCGCGGGCTGAGAAGGGATTGGACCCGTATCTGCTCTCCCCGCGCAGGGTGTCAATTCCCGTTCTGGTGAGGGACGGAAGACCGTGTCATCTTCTCGGCCCTCAGGACATAACTGCCTCGATTCCTCCGGCAACTGCGCCGTTTACTGCCTTTAATATGAAGCCGTTTCCGCAGATTCACCACAGTCATAACAACATCGTGACACATCTGACATCATCTGTCAATCATCTGGGCCACATGCAGCCATGGTCCTGGTGAAGAGAACACGTACATCGCGGAGACGTCTTGATTTGATGTTTGCGCTTACATGTATTTAGAGCATCTGTGAAATGCCTATTAGACGTCAATCTGAGACGTTAAATATAGACGTACGTGTTTAAGGTATTTACAACTTACAATTACAAGCAGAACTTTTATGACATTACAATGACGTCACAATTGGGAGCAGATCTTTTTATGACGTTTATCAGACCTCTTAACACAGCAGATGTTTTCCAGACCAAATACTTCTTGAAGACGAACGTGTGCTATTTGGGCACGGAGCGCTTTTGTTTTCGTCTTTACTGCAAGGTGGATTCTTTATGTCTATGTTTTCAATTGTCTAATATTGTATTTCCCATCTGTTAGTTGCAATTTAATAAAAAAACAAAAAAAACATACACTTGGGACATCATGTAGATATATTTATGCTGGAGAGTATCTTTTTGTATTGATTTCATTTAAGTTCAGTTCTCTGATATGTTCCTTTTAGTTGCAATTAGAAAAGACTGGGGAAAGTAGATTATAGTATGTTGTTTTTTATTTTATTTGAATAGCTGGAATTATTCAGACTAACCTGTAATAAAAATTGTGAATGAAAAGTTTTTATTGAAAGCTTTTTTTTCCTTTGAATCTTTGTCTAGAGAGAGGTTAAATTTGATTGTGAGAATAAAACAATGTTACAATTTTAACGTCCAATGCACTTTTCTCTGTAGCTGTTTTCAGGGCTCATTTAAGCTGTTTTACAATCATTGTCCCACAGTTACACACGCAGGGATCTAAATTTATAGGCTTACAAAACAAACAATGGGAGTACACTTTAGCGATTAGATGACCTTACTTAAGTAAAGATTACTAAAATGAGTTTACTTTGCTTTAAAAAGTGAGAAACCCCGTTTAATAAGTAAATAAACTATGTGCATATGAAGTTAAAACAGGTTTACTCATTTTTTTAAGTAACTAATTGCTTTTGCAGTGTAAACTAATATAATATATATGTATTATATAATACATCCCTGCTGAAAAATCCAGCTTAAACCAGCCTAAGCTGGTTGGCTGGTTTTAGCTGGTTGACCAGGCTGGTTTTAGAGGGGTTTTGGCCACTTCCAGGCTGGTTTTCAGCCATTTCCAGCCTGGTCTTAGCTGGTCAGGCTGGGAGATGACCAGCTAAAACCAGCTTGACCACCCTAGCCAAGCTGGGAGTCCAGCCAAAACCAGCTATATCCAGCTTAAACCAGGCTGTTCAAGCTAGTTTTAGCTGGATTTGGCTGGTCATTTTCCAGCCTGACCAGCTAAGACCAGGCTGGAAATGGCTGGAAACCAGCCTGGAAGTGGCCAAAACCCCTCAAAAACCAGCCTGGTCAACCAGCTAAAACCATCCAACCAGCCTAGGCTGGTTTAAGCTGGATTTTTCAGCAGGGATATTACAGCTAAAAGAACTCGGGAAATCATGGAACACTAATGAAATATGGGGTGTTTAATAACTTTCAGTGGCATTGATTAGTGAATTCAGGTTGATTTTATTGTGCTATGCTGTCGAACAATAATAAAGAAAGAAACTTGGGAGCACTTAAAACTCAACGAGGTCAAACTACATATTGGCAAATGTCAGAAAATTATAAATACTTCAAATACGAAGCACACACGCTGCATTCTCTTTAAAGACCGCTCGATGGCAGCATTGTATAATCTCTGAAATGAGAAACACCAATTGCACTACTAATGTTGCTTGCAGAAGGTTTCTAACTGGGTACAGAGAGCCTCAGGGGGCCGCGAGGGTGCGCTAAGAGACTATGACTATAAATGTTTCCATTACAATAAAGCTTTATTAAAAAGAAAGAAAAAAAGAAAAAATGTTTATAAATTTAAATAAAGTTGGGTTTGCGGCTGGAAGAGCATCCGCAGCTTGAAACATTAATAAATGGACTAAGCCGAAAATAAAATGAATGAATGAATGTTAATAAATTGTTTATGTATTTTATTAACTTAAGTTAGCAAAAAGATTGTGAAAAATATTAATAGGATAAAGAAAAGAACATCTGTAGAGTAAGACTAATATTTAGAGTAAATAAAAAGTAATAAATTATTTTAATATTATATTGTTAATAAAATTAAAATAATAATAATAATCGTTGTTAATATTATATCATAAAATAAACTATTAAATTTGACTATTAAATGCGATTAAAACAAATTACGAAAATGTATTTTTTATATTTATTTATTCATGTATGTATGTGTGGAGAGGTAAAGTTGGTTTTATATTCGCATATTTCTTCATTTAGAAGTCTCTGTATTGTTTACCATGTTACTTTGAATATTCAAGAGAAATTAGCATCCAAGTGTGACTTGAAAACAACATTAACACTGTTTATTTGACTATGAACAATGTTGTACTTTAATAGTCATTGGCTGCTAATAAGATTTAGCTATTTAGAGTTTGCAAATAATATTTTTTATGAAATTATATTATTGAAGGGAAAGTCCGAATGTGCGAATATAAAGCCAACTTTATCTCTATTGTATGTATTATGTAATTAATTTTAAATAAATTGATGGCTAATCAATCAATAATTAAAAACGACAACCCTTTCGGCTTTAAGAAATTGCTAAAATAATAATAATAATATAATAATAATAATAATAATAATAATAATAATAATAATAATAATAATAAAAGTCTTGAGAAATATCTTTTGACACATTCCAATTCAGTTTCGCCATGAATACCTCCTACACAAACCAACACTTACTGGTTTTGGTTTAAAGAGTACACAGAAAAGAGTACACAGGCCAAATTCAGAGTAGGCCTATACATCAAAGAGTTTAAGAGAATAAAAGAGCAAACAAAAACGTGTTCCTCAACTGTTGTGATTTTCAATACACTCGATCACGCAATGCTTTTGTATGAGGATTGAGCCTTAAAACCACATCAATCACATATTAAAAATGAATCGCTAATAATAGTTCGCCATCTGGACAGCATTTACGGGTCTTAATTCGTTTAAAAAAACGAAATTTCTTTACATTTGAAAAGAACGACAACTTAAATGTTATTCTAACAAGGCCTTTGAGAAACCTATTAGAATTGAAAAACAAGATTTTAAGCAGGCCTAACATCTCAGAAAACAAACTGACCTTGTGTCTGTTGATCTCTTCATGAAAACGCCACATGCACACGAATGTCCTTCAATCGGGTGTTTTCAGCTTCCAGCACACACATTAATGTTCTCGAGACTTATAATGATAAGTTACAGACAGGCTAGCTCAGGTTTGATTTTATTTGGGGAGAAATTTTTTTTTTTTTTTTTTTTTTTTTTGGTGAGAAAATCAAGCATAGAATTGTGGGAAGGATGACGTCACGGTGAAGCCCCAAAATGTCGCAAATACTGTGACAAATACACAAATAAAATAAAACATGTAGCAAATAAAAGGCCTAACATGGAAATACTACAGTAATCTATAATAAATTGTAAAGTGTTTTTAAAAAATACTAGTGAAGTCTATTCTACTGTATAGTTAGCCTAAATGAATGATACATACAGGTACATTTTGACTGCACATGCATAGTTTAATTTTGACTACAAACTGTGTTGGATAATACAGAAAAACGAATACAGTATGAGATTATATTGGCCTAATAGTTGTATTTCCATAACTATAGGCACGTACCCAGGAGGGGTTCGGGTGGTTCGAAAAACCCACCCCTCATTGACAAAGGTTCAGAACTGGTCACCTAACCCCACCCCTAAACCCAACAGTCATTGGGTGATGAGCAAATCGTACTAAATTGTACGAATTAGATCGTACGAATTCATACGAATTAGCCACTGAATCAAAAAGTTACGAATAGCCGTGAGATTGTTTGTGTTGATTTATCCCATGTTTTACTTCTGCTATCATAAATTGTGACACTAACCAATCAAAGAATGTTTTAAAAGCAAGAGAAATATTCTGCTGTATTATTATTATTATTACCATTATTATTAATGTTAATATGTTTGAGTATTGTGTGTGAATTATTCAAATCATGGCCAAATTCTGAATGAGGAAACTGGAATGAGCTGGACAATTTGTTATTTACTTATAGGCTTAAATTTTTTATTTAAAACAAGCTTTAACAGACCCATAAAAAAGAATAAAATAAAACTGTACTTTAAAAATAAGTATCTTTTCATATTTCTTTATTCATTTTATTTTTTTTTAAATGCTAATCTCAACATTATTTATTAAACTGTAATATAAAACTTACAGTTTAAATGTATATGTGTAAATAAACACTTAAAATAGGAATTTGGCAAAAAAAAAAAGTGTTATGTTGACAATCCATCAAGCTAATCCAGCAAAAATTGTGCTTGATATCACGAAAATGTAATGTTTAAACCTCATAATTAAATATAAAATGAGGCAAATAATTACAAAAAAAAGTGATTTTAGTTCAGTTTTTCAGAAAAAAAACCCCACCTCTTTCAATAAGCTGGCTACAGGCCTGAACTACAGTTGAAACCAGAAGTACATAGACTGTATAAAAAGGCACATAGCCATTTAAAAAAAGTCAGATGCTTATATGACTAAACTTTTTCTCTTTTAGGTAAATTAAGATTATCATATTTGTTTCTTTTGTGCTTGATAGCAGATTAATGAGAGATATTTTTTGAGAAATTGTTTTAAACTTTCTTTACATACAATAAGATTATTATGCCTCTTAAAAAAGCTCAGATGATGGTGTCAAGGTTTTGGATGTTTCTGATTGGCTAATTGACAACATTTTAGTTAACTGGAGGCACAACTGTAGAATAGTATTTAAGGAAAACCTCAAACTCACTGCTTCCTTGTGTGACAACATGGGAAAATCAACAAGCCAGAATCAACATAAGAGCCAGATTACAATTTGCTAAATTACACTGGGAAAGAGACTAATTTTTGAGACATGTCCTGTGGTCTGATGGAACTAAGATTGAACTGTTTAGCCATAATGACCAGAGTTACATTTGGAGGACAAAGGGGAAAGCTTACAAGCCTAGTAACACCATCATAACTGTGAAGTATGTGGGCGGCAGCATCATGTTGTGAGGCTGTTTTGCTGCAGGAGGGACTGGTCCACTTCACAGCATAGACGGCATCATGAAGAAAGAACATTATATAGAAATACTGAAGCAACATCTCAAGACATCAGCCAGGAAATTAAAACTTGGCCACAAATAGGTTTTCCAAACAGACCATCACCCTAAGCATACTGCCAAATTAGTTTAAATGTGCTTTAAGGACAACAGAGTGAATGTTTTGGAGTGGCCATCACAAAGCCCTGATTTCAATCCTACAGAGAATTTGTGCATGGGCAGAGTTGAAACAGCTTGTGCGCGCAAGACAACAAATCTGACTCAGTTACACCAATTCTGCCAGAAGGAATGGGCTAAAATTCCTTCAAACTATTGTGAGAAGCTTGTGGAAGGATGGCCAAAACATTTGACCAAAGTTATACAGTTTAAAAGCAAAGCTAAAAAAATACCAAGGAAATGTATATAAACTTTTGACTGTCTAGACATTGATAAAACATTCTCAAAAAAAACATTCTCTCATTGTCCTGGCATTTAGCA